CCGGTTACAGGAAAACACCCCTAACCACTGCACCACAGCTCCATAATAACAGACAGATACTAATGGAAAGAGCAGCAAAGTGTCATTTGTGTTGAGAAGTTCATTATTTGAAGAGCTCACACTGATTACTTTAGAGATTCAAACAAAAGTCAATCTTATTACAACTGAGCAGGGCCTATTTCAGGATTATGTCTTAGGAAATATCTCAAGCAGTCTTAAAATAAACCTCTGAATATCCCTGCTGTCTAAAGCCGCTTTACAGACCTCAACACCATCAGTTTCACACTATGTGTTAAAAGGATCATACTTACAGTATGTGGTGCCGTTTGTAGTTACACCGTCAAAAATTACCACCAATATTTTTATTTTATTTAATCTTTTATAAGAAAAAAAGAACAGATTTATTTTTCAAAGTCAGTTTTTCACCATATGATTCATACATTTATAAATGTCATAGTTATAAACTAAATATTTAACTTACAAATCATATATTTAGTTAACAAGCTAAATATTTAACTTGTAACTTCAATATATAGTTTTGAGCTAAATATTTAGCTTGAAACTTAAATATTTAGTTAGCAAGTTAAATATTTAGCTAGCTACTTAAATATTTAACTTGCTAGCTAAATATTTAACCTAAATATTTAGTTTTGCGCTAAATGTTTAGCTTGAAACTTAAATATTTAATTTGTAAGTTAAATATTTAGTTTATAAACTATGACAGGTTAGGGTTAGGGTTATGTATGTTAAATGTATGGGTTAAATGTATGAATCATATGTTGAAAAACTGACTTTGAAAAATTAATCTGTTCTTTTTTTTCTTATAAAAGGTTAAATAAAATAAAAATACTGGTAGTAATTTTTGACGGTGTAACTTTACAAACAGCACCAGGATCTAAGGTGCTGGTGTAAGACCCTGAAGGGCCACTTCCGTCTTTTGTTCACTCTCAGTTGATAAAGATGTTCAGGTTGATTCATTTAGAATCCATCACAGCACCAACTGCAACTTTTTGTCTCTTTGGCGCTCTGCCTTTAGAAACCAAGCTTTACACAAACTTTCTGTAGACAGCAGATGAGCTTTTAAAAAGCTGCTAGCTGCAGTATTTTACCATGAACACAATGATGTGGAGGTTCTCATGAAACTAGTCTAATAAAATCAACAAGACCTACTTTCTGCTCATAAAAACCATCTCTAATAATAAATAATAAAGAATTATGGAGGTCTTATTGAGAGTCGTATCACAAACACTCTTAAAGGTTTGTGTATTTTGTGCTGTAGGAAGTTGTACTGTCAGGTTTAAAACAGCAGATGTCTGAGGGATGATCTGGTACACCCTGAGGTCTGTAGTGTAGGCGTCCTTAGACCACCGGTCACAGAGGTCACTGTTAAAGCTGAAGGCAAAGCTCGGAGGATCTCTTGAGGTGAAGCACATTAACTGTAAGCCAGGCGAGGAGGACAAAGTGTGGCTCTGAACATTACAGCCAACACCTTCAGGCTGTGAAGGTTTGCTTCCAGGTCATCTGTAACACGTGATTTTCTTACTTTACAAAAAATGTTTGCTACATAAAAAGGCCATGGATTTAATGTAGTTTGTTGAAGTCCTAACTTAGTGATCATTTTGACCCCAGAGTGTAACTGAACAACAGCAAACAACAGAACTGATTCATGCTGATGACATGAGGAGCTTATGCAGGTTTGAAATCCATGTCCACCCATTCAGATGAGATGTTTCAGAGAAGGCCTTAACCACACACTGCATCCAGTACAACAGCATGGCTTTATAACAGAAGAATGTGGGCGCTGTTTGCTTTAAAAACTTTAAAGGGATCCATGATTAGTTGTAACATTAGACTTTATTTAATAAACATTTATTTTAACTGTAAAATGTCACTCTCAAAGGCAAAATTATCAACATTCAGTCGTTTTGAGAAACTGTTACGTTCTATTTATTAATCTGTATTATTTAAAACAATTTACAACATTCAAAACTTTGTTTTAAGGTAAATTTCCTAACATGCAGTGTATGTACCTGAAACTTAAAAACATATATCCTGATGTGTGCTCTTGACTTTTAATATTTGATTATTTATCTTGATTTCCTTTTTTATTGTTTTATGTTAATGTACTGCTACAAGTTGCAACATTGAATTTATATTTAAATAAAGCATAAAAAGCAAATATAAACAAATACTTCTTTTAAAACAGATTTATTGGCTCACTATGCCCATAACATTTTTCTTAAAAACAATATAAATTACAAGGAAAAAGCAACAGAAATACTTACAGCATTAAATAAAAACATTGACAACCTCAAGTCAGTGAACAATGCTGATATTACAATAAATGTAAGAACTATTAAAAACATTTTTAAACACTATATACAAATAATGTCCTTAAAAACAGTCAATATGACTTGTGTTCAACTCTCCACAGGAAATTTAAAAAGTTTAAAGGGATGTTCTGTTAACTAATTATCAATAGTTAATATCAGCTGCAACATTCAGTCAGATAAGTACAATGTTTTTTTTTTTTTTTTTTTTTTTTTTTTTAAAAAAAAAAAAAAAAAAAAAAAA